TTAATATTAATCAATATAAATTATCCTTCCCTAGTTTTCTTCCTTATGTTACCATTGTTTGTTTTACTTCACCTTGATATAAACAAATTAATTATTATAATTTATCTATGAGATACTATTGAACTCAATCTTTGTGGTATTAAGTAACCATGATCCTTATTTTATCGACTTCATATTTTATCTACCTCTGATACTTCTCATTCTATGTATAGGTAATAATGTAATAGTTCTCTTCATAATACCATCCATTAATAATTTTACTCCATGTGTTATATAGTTATAAGTAGTCTCTCTTGGTATTAATACTCATAACTGTTAAATAACTTTTCATTATCTTTTTTCTTCTTCATTAATATTTAGGAATATATATGTATGTTAGTGTCAATCTTTTATTTCTTTGTAAGTCTGTTAATCTTCTGTATCAAATGAACTCTGTAGAATCTTCCATCACAGTTTGCACATCAGATGAAAAGTCTCTTTCCAACAGTCGATGTCCAGTTGTCTGAAGGAATACTTTCCTGATTTATTGCCACAAGGATCTGTCACGCTTTACCTACATTAAAACAAATAACATGTGCAGCATCAATACAATGGCTTACAATGTTTATATCTCATTATTATTATACAGTTTAACATTGAATTACATGGACTCCACAAAACATTCTCATTTCTTCTCATGAGATCTACCATCTAGTGGTCATTACATTTATGCCATGTGATGTATAATCTTTCTGAACATTTTAATTTTCCAAACTTTTTATTACTCATACCTTATTAATCATACCCCCCTTTTAAACTGTTTAATAATCTGGAGGTATAACCTAATCACATGTCAGATGTTACAACTAAATATTGTTTTCCACTATACGTTAGCAATAGCAGCCATCTTGTCTTAACACTGGCACCATTTTGTCACATGAAACAAACTACAAAAACATATATTGTTTCCTACATCAAATGTATTTGTAAATCTAGGTTTTATCCTATCAAAACTTTTGTCTTCTATATAATCAAAACATATGTATGTCCAGGCTTTGCAAAATATAGTAATCCATTATCAGTCATGATATTAAAATCTCATTCTCATGAATTAAATCAAAGATTTTAAATCAACCTCAGAAGTAACAACATTGTTTTTTCCTTCTGTAAAATGATTGGAGTTACTGTATAATCGCATACACCCAATATAACATTGCATGTTCCTCACTGCTACATTAGTATATTTCATTCTGCCATATTTGCAAACTTGATGTAAATTTTTATTTCCATTAATTAACCTAATACTTTCTTATAACACACATAAAACAATGAAAAACAGTACAGACTAACAATTCATTTAAAACAACAAACTAACATAGATCTCTATTCTTGTGCTGTTCTTAATTCTGGAATCAGCCTGTGCACATCTGTTGGCACACATATCCATGCTCATTCCCTAAACTGATCATATCTCTTGAAGTTATCTGATTCTTATAAATTTCTGTGTTACACTGCATTGCTTGTCTGTCTCTTAATTTTGATTTAACTAAAATTGCTTTTATTTGTCTGACTATCAGTTTGCAAGGAAAGTCCTTTATTGATTTATCTCCACATGTATTTTCTCTATCAAAATTTTCAATCAACATATTTAATTTTTCATTTGCTTTTGATTTGATATCTCGGATAAAATATCTGCAAGATCTTAAATAATGTTGTTTATTGCACCAAAAACAAATAACTTTAGGAGTTATATTCTGTCTTTGATTAACTCTACACTCTGTCCTAGAAGAAGAAGAAGAAGGAGGGGGACGAGGGCTGTAAAATCTGCACTTCTTTCTCTGCCTAAATCCACAAGTCGTTTTAACCCCTTCATTATTGGTTTCTCTCCTTAAGTTATCCAAGAACAAAGCTACTTCTGTCAAAGTGCTTTTTTCTCTAGCTAACACAATTGCAGTTGGATCTAGATCTTGAAATTTTTTCACAAATTCATTAATTAACTGATCTTCAGAAAAATCAGCAACAAGTCTATATGCACTTTCAAATTTTGCAAGAAAACTAAATATATCCTCCCCTTTGTGTGGTTTTAGTTTTTCCAACATTTCAGTGTCTGCAAAATCATTCCCTGTTGTTAATTTTATTAATTGTGTTAATCTGTCTCGCTTATTTCCATATATTATTTCATCATTGTCCTCAAATTTTACAAGCGTGGTCAGTCTACATGCCATTTGAGTCGGCAGCCATATTTGAAATAGTCTATTCCTTTGTTCGTCATTTAGGCTGTATTTGTCCACATTTGACTCAAACATTTCAGCATTAGTAAATGCATCCACTGACGTGTCATAAACTGGAATAGATTTCACAATTTTCATTAATTGTTCATGGATTTTCAAATTAAATTTTGCAGCTCTGTCTTGAAATTTACATTTCTGCAAATCACTCTGTGAGGATACATTTTCAGTATCAGTTGGTTCTGGGATTAGATTCTGTGCCTTTATTTTTCTTGTATTAACACACACTAGTTTAACTTCATTTCTAAGCTGGCAAATAAGATCATTTCTTAGTTCAACACTATCCTCTAGTTCACAGACTTTTTCTGACAATGTTCTCTCTGTTACATTGTTACATTGTTCATTTAAATCTGATTTGTCTTCTGTTAACCCATTCAAATCTACTTTATCTGCTGATTCTAAATTTTCTTGACCTGCATCTCGTTTACAAATCAATGCATTGTAAGTACAGACTAATTTCATAACATTTCTGATCTTTTGTTTTTTCTTATTAACAAACAATTTCTTGGCAATTTCAGTATTGGCAATTTCACATTGTGTGTATAAAGATTGCCACAATACAGCATCTGAATAGCTGCTATTAAATGCAAACTGCAATTTACTTTTCTCTGCATTATCATTTATGAATTCCATGTTACTCACCAGATCAGTTATCTCTGTCTATTTCGTTGCTTCATCCACACAGCTGCGCAGTTCTTTGCTTGGATCTGGAAATTTGCCAATGTCTGCCACGTGCTTGCTTCTAGATTTCACGTTGTATCTTGTGCTTTTTGTCTCAGTTGTAGAAAATAGTCTTGTACAGTCTTTGATTTGAAAACTTTCTTTTTCTTACAAACACAGTCTAGATTCTTTTTTTTCTCTTCAAGTTTGTTTTCCCAGTTCCAAAATAGCTTTGTAACTCGATTCTTCTCTCTCCCCCCTTGAAGTGGGAACAAAACTTTGAATAGAAGACTGGCTGGCTAGCCAATGTAAAAAACTAGATGAATGGATGTTCAATGTTGATGATTCTTAATTTCTTCTTGTCTTCAGTTGATTGATATATATACGTCTTTTGTATATATATTCTTGGGCCAAATGCTCGCCACAATAATATATGTCTATATTATTGAAAAGTAGTAATACGCAATCTGACTTACGGTTTCTTCAGGTTTATTCTTTGTTACGGATACATAATAAAACATAATAAAGGATGTTACAGGATTATGGACATTCAACAGCAGATGGTAATTGCTGGACTTCTGATGGGAGAGTTACATCGTTGTACAGAGCCGAGCCAAGAGTGAGACCGACCTCGTGTCCCTCTGTTACTATCTAGATGTGCTAATACTAACGTCAGCATATAACTCTAGCCATATAAGGACAAGACCCCCGAATCCACATTCCAGAGCTCTCGGACAAAGAAAGCCTTGTGACTTATTGATACCATCTGTTACTTATGTCAATCCACACATCCATACATATAATCAATAGAAACATAGAATATGCAATATTCTACAGCTATCTTTATTGTGCTCTTCATGTTACTAGATTTGTGAACGTCAGGAAAATTTTGTTCTAGTGAATCTTTTGTCCGAAGATAAAAATATATTTGATCCAATGGAATTTTGTCAACAAGGCTGTTAAGTTAGTCTGACTATCGTTCATGCAAATCATTCAGGAAAACCTATCCAGGTGAAGCAAAAGGGAATGGTCAATGAGCCTTTCAGATGTGTGTTGTCTTTAATGTTTATGAGTTGCTGTGTCTTTAAGAGAGCCTGACGGAAGTAACGCGTCTTGTTAAAAGCGTGTGCCATTAGTGCCTACATGCTCTGTTATTGCATCTGAAGTGTATGCTACAGCTCCTGAATCTTCGTCTCAGTGATTTAGATATGTATCTTTATCCTTATTATTAAAATGGATTGGACTATTACAGATTTTGGCTCTAGAGCTCCCCCTTCTGGCTGGTAAACCGTTCCAGACCCTGGCTGCCTAATGGACACTGGAATTGGATTCACCATATAGCTGATTGATAAAACCCACTAACGACCCGGACTGCCTATAGGATTATGATCTTGGCCTGGTAACAATTAGGATTGTTTTAAGGATTCAGCTTTTGTATTCTTACTAATTGATTGATATACAGTGAGGGAAAAAAAAGTATTTGATCAGTCTATAATTGACATGCAAATTAATTAATAACTTTTTTGACATACATTTTTCTGGATTTTTTTGTTTTGTTATTCTGTCTCTAACTGTTAAATTACACCGACCATTAAAATTATAGACTGATCATTTATTTGTCAGAGGGCAAACGTTCAAAATCAGCAGGGGATCAAATACTTTTTCCCCTCACTGTACTTGAAACCTGGTTCAGCTTGAATTTTTATGAATGTTGTTTGTTCTTCTCTTTCTAGAGCCTTATTTCCTATCTACTCCTGGTTCCTTCACAATAGTGAAGTTCACCTCTTCCAGTCCAGTGAATATTCCCCTTTTCTTCTACCTTAAAATAAAAGCTAAAAACTCCTTCTTATTTCATTATTATCAAAACAGATTAAAGACACAACATTATCATTCCAATGCAAAATATACGCTTTCTATTTATAACTAATTTTGCAGTACAACAAGCTATTTTTTTCCATTTTGCCCCATATAAGGTCTTATTATACCTCATATTAATCCTCATATGTATCTTTGTCAATCACTGGCATACTAGCCCCTCACATTAAAGGGTTGGGTTGGAGATTTGAAGTAGTCATGATGCCTGGAGTCGGTATGCGCTGCGCTTCGCCTTAAAACTTTGCACAGAGATTATACCATTAGCTGCCGGTTATGTAACTCCACCGCATGCAGCATTATTAGTCAGCCAAAAGCAAAGTTCCAGGCTGGCTAATATCAACTCTGTTCAGCTTATTGGCAGCTAATGCCAACACATGCTGCATGCTGGTGCCAGAC